TTTGTGGCTTCCTTTTTTTTTTCTTTTTTGCGAAATGCTTTTGCGGCTTCCTTCATTGCAGATGATAATCTTGACAGGTCCTTGTTGGTTGATGTGAAGAAGGAAGTGCTTCTCAAGGCTTTTTTGATGTCCACAATAAATAAATGGCAAAATTTAGTTTTGGGCCTCTTTTGGTTCATAGGATATAAATTGTATAGGAATAGAAAAATCATAAGAAGTGAGATGACATGCATCTCAATTCCTATGGAGAAAGAGATGCCATCTGATGCATAGAATATGAATTTTTTCATTGAGTCTAGGCTAATGTTTTTTTCTTCCAAAATGTGAAGGATTGATTCCTATCCTACATAGGAATATGAATCCGCGGAAATGCCTAACGGTGGACGGGTGAATCGGCTCCTTTTATAAAATAACATTTTTCCACAGTGCAAGAAAATTTGAAAAAAAATTATACACACACAAATACACGAATAACACATACAAGAAAATTTTCATGACAATATACTTTTATACGTGGCGTAGACAAAAAAACAAAATTTCATAACAATATACCCTTATTATGGGGTCAGGATTTTGGTTTTTTGTGCCGCTTGCAAATCAAAATATATTTGAATGAAAATTCACAGATCCATCACGAAATGTTTAAGTTTCCACAGTTTTTTTTTCGGATTTTTTTGAAACTTGGAAATATGATTTTTGAATCATTTCAAAGAAAGGAGCCAATGCCCCCGTCCACCATTAAGTCGCTTTCTAGGAATCCATTCATATAAACCAAAGGGCTTCAAAGGAATTTTTCCTTTACAAATCCTATCCTATAGAGTTCCTACAAAATTCCTACAAAATTCCTATCCTATAGAATTCCTACCAAAGGGCTTCAAATGAGGCCTTGATAGTAGGGTTGCTGGTCTTCTGATGGTCTTCTTATGATAGTAGGCGTATGCTGTAACGAACAATTGTAATAACTTGTTATTTAATTAATACATGAGGCGATGTTTAAAAAATGATGCATAGGTCCGAAGTTCCAACCGCCTTTTCAAAAAAAAAGAAGAAAAACTTAATGCTCAATGTGTTAGATTTTTTTTTTGCGAGTACTGTGCTAGAGATTCGTGTGCATCATAGTCCTCATTTCCAACCTCCTTTAAATATTGTGCGTGTTTTTAAACATGATGTTGTGTGACAACAAGTTTCATGTGAAGGATGTGAAGCAATTGGCGCTACGTGTCTAGTGCGGAGGAGGCAGAAGTGCTAGCAAGTTTAGAGGGGTCCATCCGCTCTTCGAATGGATCAATACGCCCGGTATTGAGTGCGGTTGTAAGTCCGTCCTTCATGGCTTAACATCGATTAGTCAAGCATCGACGACCAAGCCGAAGTTGTTAAAGCAAAAATGGACAGCAACAGGGTAACTTTTGAAATTGCTCACTTAGTGATAAAAAAGTGGCCAGCACATGATTTCGTGGCCTGACGATCTTCAATTTATTTAATTTGGAGCTCCTCGTCAAATCAATTAGTCTTACAAAAAACATTTCAACTTGATCATTCCTTAACCTCTCCGTCCACACATATACTCCCTCCGTTCAAATGGACTACAACATAAGGATGTATATAGACATATTTTAGAGTATAGAATCACTCATTTTGCTTCGTATGTAGTCCCTTGTTAAAATCTCTAAAAAGACTTATATTTTGGGTACAAAACATCATGTCTATTGCATCAGTATGTTGCACAAAAGATGATATCACCGGTCCAAATTACTTATGAATCATACTATAAATCACATATCAAGAAAATTGGCATTATTGGCCTCTCCTCCTTCGCCCCTCATCACCGCATATTCGTCCTTTTCTTTTTTCTGGCACAGAGAGCGTAGTCATGGAGTATCAAAAAAGTTCAGGTCGTTCTGCTGCTTATCGTGATAAGGATCTTGGAGTTGCGCGGTGGAGAAGAAAAGCTCCGCTACTTTCGGCCCGCCGCGGGCATGTACGTCCGTATGGGCTGGTAGCCCAACAAAATTAGGGTTTTCATTTTCCCTGCATCAGCCCAACCCAACAACAACCGAGCCGGCTAGTGGCCCATTAAAATAACCCGTGGTTGTGCTATATAATCCCTGCATCTCCTCTCATTCAACCCTATCCTCTCCTGACGAGATCTGAAGCCGCCGGGCAGCAGCGCTCCCCCCCTCCCCCAAGGTAATCACCATCTTCTTCTTACCCTAGCAAATATTTCTCCAGATGAACTATGCTGGGTGCTCCTGCTGGTGCTGTTTAGTTGTGTACTAGCTTGTTAGCTCATGGTCGTTTGTAGCTTCTTGACTTAGAAGCTGCTGTGCTGCTTATTAGTCATGTTCACGATGCTGTTAGCTCCCACTGTTGTAGATCTCAGGTCACTAGTTTTCAAGTGCATCGGTAGATCGAGTAGCAAAAGTACGGTGGGATTTACAAGTTGTGATGCCCCATCTGTGTGCGTCTGTCGTTGACAATATTTGTCCGCGTTATCCTAGTAAAAAGTGTACCTACCAAATTTGTTTAGGAAAAGCCTACATATATTTTCATGTGAGCATATGAGTCTGTAGTTGTAGTTCTGCTGTTTATGTCCTGAGTAACTAGGAGTTGGTGTAGTAACTCTCATACCTAACACTTTATTTTGTTCTTACAGTACCAGGAGAAGATGAGCTTGTAGCGTGGACTCATGTATTAAAGCTTTACCAGCTTTCATAGATCCGGATGGTTTTGAAGTGATAGCTGGCTTGACTTTGCTTTTCTTCAAAGCATCTTGACAGACCAAAATCCGTAATTTTTGGCACCATGTTTTCGTCTAGCAATATATTTGCAGGTTTTAGGTCTAAGTGAAGGATATCGATCTCTGTGAATATATTGTAAACCTTCACAAATTCCCTTGATTATTTCATAGCGCTATTTTAAAAGAAATTATTTGGCATTTGGCATTGTCCAACATGCATATCTATGACTTGAGAAGTTTAAAGAAATACAGTCATTGGATATTGTGTTTGACTTAGAAAGAAAGATGGAGAAGTTAAACAAAAAGTTGCGAAGGCAGATGAATGCTTTGCTTATGCATAATCCATATTGATAAAGTGCTATGGAATGATCAAGGAATTTGTGAGGTTTACATTATCTTCGCAAGAGTTGTATTGTTCACTTAGACCTAGACATGCAAGTATATTTCTAGGCGAAAATATAATGTTAAAAATTGCGGATTTTTGGCTCTCAAGTTGCTTGGAGGAAAATCAAAGCCAGGCTATTGCTTCAAAACAGTTTGGATCTATGTATGAAAGAAGGGACATTGATGAACTGGGTTGGATTTACTTTGACATCAGGTATTTGTATATCATAATCTATGAACTTGTTTGCATGTTAACATCAGGTATGTGTATATCATAATCTATGATTGCAATACGCACCTGCAACTTAGGGAATAGGTTGGAGAAATCATGGGAAAGTATGCACATCAGTTGATAAAACAGAAAACACAAATAGGTCTATTCAGACATCAGGTGTGCTGGTAAGCTCACTTATGGTCCATGACATGCTCCACTAACCTCTTTTTTTAGAGCCTAGTGTACATCTATTGGTACTCCGAGCTGGTGGAGGAAGTCAAATGTCGTTAGTTGTCAAATAGGAAAATGTTTCAATGAACTGTAAATATTTGGAGGAAGCCTTTATAGTTTCTTGCACAAAGAGTATCACATATGGATGCTATAAGTATTATTTTGGAGGATATTTGTTTCTACATACTGTGTTTTCTGTTTTGTTATATCGTGCCTGCACATTATAAAGACACTGTGGCTAGATCGTTGTTAAGGTGCAGAACTCCATTTAGCTTAGTAGTGGATTTATACTGGGTCTGAGATATTTAATCACTAGTTGAAACAATTCCAGTTTGTGTATTTATAATGATCTGCATTCAGTTGTTTGTAAAATGTTCCATGCAATAGTATATGCTAATTTTGTAACAACTAATGGCAAGGAAAGAAGCCCTATCTCTTTTCATCTCTTGCTTCTGTATGCGCAGGTCATAAATGATCAGCCTATGGTAACGAAGTAGTAGATGTGTACAGTTCTGCTGTTGTACTTCGCAAGCTCAGTTAACAGACGAATCCCTGTCCAGGCTAAGATTTCCATGTTTTGCGCTCTTGGTTGTTACAAGGAGCAAACATGAGGGTTCAGGGGAGACAAGCCAGGAAGGATGGATGACCTAGCAGTGAAGATTGGCCGGCCCCTCTGCTCGTACTCCATGAGTTCCTACTATTTGGAGACAAGCTAGGAAAGATGGATGACCTAAAGATTGGCTGGCCCTACGCCATGGCAGTTCCTCCGTGAATGAGGATCGGGGTTGATGGCATTATTAGAGGAAATGCATCTTGAGCACGGGCTGTTTTCGTCTAGGAACTGATTTTCGTGGTCTTCCAGTTTCCACTAGAGCTCTAGGCTGGTGTATCTCACATAGAGCAAACTGGAGTGACCTTCCCGTGTGATCCTTCGGTGTGATCCTTTATTTTACCACCTCAATTTTCATGTGAGATGTACATTGACTATTGTTCTTTGTTTCTGCGAAAACTCTGTTCATTCAAAGCCTTTGTTTCTACGAAAGCTCTGTTCATTCCAAACTCTCTGTACATTGACTATTGTTCTTTGTTTCACAGCCACTCTGGAATCTAGTAGCTCACAGAGCGGAAATGTAATCATTTCTTAAATGAAAGGATCTGGTTGGAATCTTAAAGTGTGGCAGTCTTAATAATGTAATTATCATCAGTTATCCTCTAGGCTTCTAGAGTGGAAGGTTCTCCCAAACGAACCAGAGACGGTGCGCCCTTGGAAAGATTGTGGGTCACCAAACAAGGGTAAAAATACCCGGTAACAAAGTAGGCACGCTCTTGGTTGCTGGTAGTTGCTCACTCCTGTCATGAGATTTCTACTAGGTTGATAAAAAGAAGAGAGCGGCCGTGTGCTTGGCTTTCTCTCTCTGAACCTAACTCCCATCCATGGAGATTAGCAGCGAGGAGAGGGTGGAGCTCTCCATCGTGGAGCCCCTCCCCGACAATGGCGACGCCGGCGTGGAGGAGGATCATCTATGGCCGACCAAAGACGGCCCTCTTCCTATATTCCTCAAGGTGTCTTATCAGTCAGTCTCTGTTTTCTTTCGGTGTTCACTATCAGTATTTGTGGGACAGAGTTTACATCACAGATCAAACTATTTTGGACGTTTTCTCCCTAGAATGGCTAGTATTCCAGTTAATGATCATGATCTCTAGTCAAAAAATTTGTTGCTGTTTTGGTAATCTATGGTTCCTGCTGGGATAATTAACAGGTTGCTAGCTAATTACCACCAAGCAGCAGTAGAAGAAACATTTTCACTCTGCACAATTTCTGTTATGACATGTAACAGAGCTCTGCTCATGATGGATGGAAAATGCAGTTTGAGAATGTGGAGTACAAGGTGAAGCTGAGTCCCAAAAACCCCCTGACGGCTGCAAAGGTGGCCTTCTCATCCCACATGAGGGAGGACAATGGCCGCAGCAGCTGCAAACATATCCTCAAGGGCATAGGCGGCAGCGTCGACCCCGGCGAGATTCTGGCGCTGATGGGCCCGTCCGGCAGCGGCAAGACCACCCTGCTCAAGATACTGGGAGGCAGGCTGGGAGGCGCCGTCAAGGGTCAGATCACCTACAACGACACCCCCTACAGCCCCTGCCTCAAGCGGAGGTAAAAACACACGAGAGCTGTCGAGCATCAGAGACTGAATTCTTGCGATTCCTTGTACAACAATGGAGAAGATCGAGAAGATTGAGTGAAAAAGATTGAGAAGATCAATTGGTTGATTGATCAAACTCTGTTGTTTTTGTTCGTCGCGAAATGCAGGATGGGATTTGTGACGCAGGACGACGTGCTGTTCCCTCAGCTGACGGTGGAGGAGACGCTGGTGTTCGCCGCCTTCCTGAGGCTGCCGGCGCGCATGTCCAAGCAGCAGAAGCGCGACCGGGTGGACGCCATCATCGCGGAGCTGAACCTGGAGAGGTGCCGGCACACCAAGATCGGCGGCGCGTTCGTGCGCGGGGTGTCGGGCGGCGAGAGGAAGCGGACGAGCATCGGGTACGAGATCCTGGTGGACCCGTCGCTGCTGCTGCTGGACGAGCCCACGTCGGGGCTGGACTCCACGTCGGCCAGCAAGCTCATCGTCATCCTGCAGCGGCTGGCCAAGTCGACGCGGCGGACCATCATCACCACCATCCACCAGCCGTCCAGCCGGATGTTCCACATGTTCGACAAGCTGCTGCTCATCTCCGAGGGCCACGCCATCTACCACGGCAAGGCCAGGGACTGCATGCACCACTTCTCCTCGCTGGGGTTCACGCCGGAGATCCCCATGAACCCGGCCGAGTTCCTGCTGGACCTGGCCACGGGCAACCTCGAGGACATCAGCGTCCCGGGGCTGCTCCGGGACGGCTCGCCGGCGCCGCAGGAGTTCAGGTCCCGCGTCGTCGCGTACCTCCAGGCCAAGTACAGGGACCACGCCGGCGGCGCCGAGGAGGACCAGGCGAAGCAGCTGGCGAGGAGGCCCGGGGAGCAGCTGAGGCTGGCCATCCGGATGCGCAAGGACCGGAGCATCAACTGGTTCCAGCAGTTCGTGGTGCTGTCGCGTCGCACGTTCCGGGAGCGCGCCGCCGACTACCTGGACAAGATGCGGCTGGCGCAGGCCGTGGGCGTGGCGCTCCTGCTCGGCCTCCTGTGGTGGAAGTCGCAGACGGGCAACGAGGCGCAGCTGAGGGACCAGGTCGGGCTCATCTTCTACATCTGCATCTTCTGGACCTCGTCGTCGCTCTTCGGCTCCGTCTACGTCTTCCCCTTCGAGAAGCTGTACCTGGTCAAGGAGCGCAAGGCCGACATGTACCGCCTCAGCGCCTACTACGCCAGCAGCACCCTCTGCGACGCCGTGCCGCACGTCGTCTACCCGGTCCTCTTCATGGCCATCCTCTACTTCATGGCCGACCTCCGCCGCACCGTCCCCTGCTTCTGCCTCACCCTCCTCGCCACCCTCCTCATCGTCTTCACCAGCCAGGTGCGTAACCTCTTCTTCTTCTTCTTCTTGTGCATGCCGACGGTGACATCGACGGCGAACGGCGATGATAGCTCGATCTGTGATCATCAGGGGACGGGGGAGCTGCTGGGGGCGGCGATCCTGAGCGTGAAGAGGGCGGGGGTGATGGCGTCGCTGGTGCTGATGCTGTTCCTGCTCACTGGAGGGTACTACGTGCAGCACATACCCAAGTTCATACGGTGGCTGAGGTACGTCTCCTTCATGCACTACGGCTTCAACCTGCTGCTCAAGGCGCAGTACCACGGCCACCTCACCTACAACTGCGGGAGCCGGACCGGGTGCCAGCGGCTGCAGTCGTCGCCGTCGTTCGACACCGTCGACCTCGATGGCGGCATGCGCGAGGTCTGGATCCTGCTCGCCATGGCCGTCGCGTACCGCCTCCTCGCCTACTTCTGCCTCCTCAAGAGGATAACCCTCACGCCCTTGTGAAAAGAGGGAGTTTGGCACGTCGTGCTTTGCTAGATAGGTCTTCCGAATTATCCTTTGTCACATGTCATGCATGTTTATTAATGGGTACAAGCCTACAAGGCAAGAACTGGGAGCAATGTGCATGGGTTTTCTTCTTGTTTGTTTCCTTAATTTTCCTTGCTTGGAGGTAATGAGGCCTTGCTGAAGGCGGTGGGCCAAGCTGTCCCAACGTATGCGATGATTGTATTTAAATTCCCAAAGGAACAGAGCAATGTGCATGGATTTTCTTCTTGTTGGTTTTCTTAATATTCTTCAGTTTTGCTATTTCTCATGTACCTAATTTTTTTTTGTTTCGCGTCAATCACCTTCTTCCTTCCTTCCCCCTTCACGTCCAACCTCGTCGGAGAAGACAACCCCACTATCTATCTTAAGGGGAAGCCATGACCCCATTATCTATCTTATTAGGAGGAGCTATGACCCCATTA